GTGACAGAAAAGTCCCCTCTGTGACAAAAGTTCCCCTCCATGACATTTTTATCTTTTTAAAGTAATTAAAAGGAAAAGGAAGTGGAAGAAACTCTTTACCACTTTTGAGTTTGTCAGCCCATACCTCAATAATTAACAGAAGTTTCTGCAGTTATCCCCATTTATTTTAGAAAGATCATAATTTTTGTGGGTATTTTTGTCACGGAGGGGACAATTCAATGTTGGACAAAGCATTACATCTCCTCAGCACAAAGCCAAGAAACAAATTTAATAACATAGGAAGTCTGGGTAAAGAACTTAATGTCCTGACAGTTATTATTAGATTTCTTCTCAAGACAGATCTACAATATTTATTTAGTGTATGTTCCCTCCATGACAGCTTTTTTGGTATCAAAGTTAATTTATGATAATTTATGACACAAAATTATAGTGCTGACATCTCAAAAGTATCATTTTATACAAAATTTAATTTGACATTTAACCAGTCCAGAAATAGAGCTTAATTGTCCTTTTAGTCAATTTTATTTCTTAAAGCTTTATGTCCAAAATACTGTGGAATTACCCTATACAGAATTCTTGGGCTAGTAATTGATAGCATGAGTTATTCAGTATGGAAGGACAGAGCTGTATACGCATGCGCCAGGTTTTGCCACAGAAACACGGATTTTGAGTCGTTTGCATGGTTGATTTCCTATTCTGTTGCTTTGAGGCGTCGTTTTCCTTGCCACTTTTCTTTTACAGAACAACCTCCAAAAACTTGGTACACCCCCTAAAAATGTTCAAAACTCAATTTTCTCCTTAAAAACTCTGGAAATAGGAAAATACCTTTGATGAAAACAGGGATCCTTGGTTTTAAAAGACAGCCCTTATTATTTCCCACTAATTTCGCGAAATTTTAGATGTAGGACACTTGAGCCCGTGTTGTTGACCGCATACCCTCTGACGTAGCATTTCATTATTCAGCTCTGTCGTACGGAAGGAGGTATTGGGATTTTTGGTTTGCGGTTTTGGCTATTTTTTAGATCTTTTTTTTGATTTGGTGTTCTTTGCAGTTTGCAGATTTTTAGTTTTTTAGCATTTGGTCTTTGGTTTTCGCCAAAAATACCAATGGATTTTTGGATTTTGTATCTGATAAGGATTTTGGTTTTAACACAAGTTTAATGATACAAGTTTAATGATATATTACAATGATAAATTACAATATTACAAAAAATGTGCACTGCCCGCAGTTAGCAAAGGCTAGTCGAGGCGGGCAGTGTTTAATACGTATATTATAAAATATAAAATAAAAAGATTTACAGAGCAAGAGATTCAAAATTCTAGACAAATTACAGCTACATTAATACATTTAAGATATGGCAAGAAAACAGAACAAG